CCATAGGTGACCCTGCTGGTATTGAAAATACCAGTGACATAGCTTCCAACATTACAGCAACACACAAGCCACCACCTTACAACAAACTGACCAAGAAGTGGTGTTCTGTTTCTAATATTACATTGATGTATAATTATTTACTTAGAAGCTCTGTCTCTCTGAGTAGAGTACTATTCCTCAAGAATAGTTTTGCCTTAGTCCCTTAGTGTCATGTCAATTGACTCCCAAATCTTTATCTCCAACACACATTTCTGTACTGAATATATATATATATATATAATGTGTGGAGGGGGGGTGTTGATAGCAGTAAGGATTGAAGGTTAGGGTTGGGACTCTGGTTAGATCTAGGGTATGCCTAGAACTTTATTTATTGATAGGTTTATGGACAGGACTATGGTTATTGTTAAGGGAAGGGTAGAAGTAGGCTACAAATAAGGTTTTGTCTAGTTTTTAGGATTACAGTTAGGTTTATTTTTATTTATTCATTTTTTTTTCTTGAATTCTATTTGATTTCCTCTTCATTTGGAAGTTCTGTAACTACATTATTCCCTTTTTCTTCTTTATGGTTTTGTTGTTATTATTGCTACTGTATCTCTGGTTCTGTCTTTTCAGTCTTAAAGATCTGTTTTACTCTGAAAACTTCTTTATCTTGGTTGACTCTAGATGAAATTGTCATATATAGTAGTCTTAGGTTGTTATCTGCTATTGTTGGTTCTCTGTCCAAAAAACTCCTTTTAATACTTTTTGTAAGGTTGATTTGGTTTTTACAAATTAATTTCTGTTTGCTGATAATGGCCTAATTTTACCATTGTTTTTGATGGACAATTATGCTAGGTTGGCAGTTTTATATATGCCATTCCACTGTGTTCTGTGTATGATTTCTGCTGAAAAAACAGAGCTTAGTCTTATTAGTTCTCTTTTGTAGGTACTTTTTCCTTTTTACTGAGTTGTTCTTAAAATTCTTTGCTTGTCTCTGGTTTTGAAGAAGTTTGATTATATGTCTTAGTGTTTATCTTTTGGGGACTATCCAATTTGGAGTTCATTTAACTTCTAGAATGACTATCTTCTCATAATGTTAGGGAAGGTTTTCTTCCAGCAAGTCACGGACAGTGTTCTCTTTGGTTTCTTTTTTATGCCTTTTCCTGTTCTGGAATTTCTATCCCACGTAAGTTATTCCTCTTCATAGTGTCCCACATAAATCTTAGGCTGTCTTCATATTTTTTTTGCTCTTTATTATTATTATTATTTCTTTGGTGGGGGTGGTTATGTGCCATGGAATTGGAACCAACTCATAGCGACCTTCGTGTTTCCCATGCTATAAATCTTTACAGGAGCAGAAAGCCTCATCTTTCTCCCATGGAATAGCTGGTATTTTCAAACTGCTGACCTTAAGGTTTGTAGCCTGATTCGTATAGTAGATGTATATTTAGAGAGTTTTCTTCAAGCTAAATAATTCAGATTTTCGTTGATTCAGTTCTATTTTTTTGTCCTTGATTTCATCTGTAGTTTTCTAGATTTTCTCACAATCAATTGAAGTTGCCTTCTTAGCATTGTTTTAAATTCTTGATCAGGTAACCATTCCAATACTATTTCTGGTATTCTATTTTTTGACTCTGTGTTTTAGTCACTCGTTTGGGGAATTCTGTCTTGTGTCTTTATATCAGCTGAAATTGTTTTCTTCGAGACTGTGGTAAAATACTTATATTTAGATGATGATTGTTTACTTGACAGGCACGCAGCACTTGTCTCCTGGTGAATGTAGTGGAGACCAAAGTGTGACTGTTTTTAGTTCTCTGTTCACTGTTTGTGGAGTGTAGTTCAGGGTTGGTTCATGAACTTCCTGAAGCAGGGATGCTTTGCCAGGTACCTAACCCTAGGTAGAGCTGAGGCTGTATAGAAAGGAGTACCACTGTCTGCTGGGTTGGCAAGGGTTGGGACTGGCCACACCCCAGCTACTGGGAGGGCACGGGAACAGGAGAGAATTGCACTTCATTGCCACCAAACTCCAGCTGTATCCTTTGCCTGTAGGCTTCTATATCAGTAACAGTAATACAGTATTGTATAGGCATCCACCCAACCAAACCCATTAATATGGAATTGATTCTGACTGAGGGCAATACTATAGGACAGAGTACAACTGCCCCACAGGGTTTGGTTTTGTTTTAAAGTTTTTATTGTGAATTGAGTGAAAGTTTACAGGGCGGATCCTCAGTTTTACATTCAGCAAATCATACACTTTGTTTCATTACAATGATTATAATCCCCTTCATGTACTAGCAGCTAACAGTATTTCTCTCTATTCACTTTAGCTCTCTCTCTTTTTTTTTTTTTTTAACACTCAGGCATATAAAATAATTTATACCACTAAAAGGCACGTTCTGCAAGCCTGCCTATTGATCACCAGCTCTCAGTCCCTCTCTTACCATGAATCTAGAGTCCTCAGCTGCACCCTCTTTCCATGTCCCCATCTCTGCCTCCATCTCGGGTATAGCTGCTTTTCTTGATAAGGTCTCACATTCCACTTGTGCTCTTCTCCCTGATGATTCTAGGGTCCTCTGTTTCTGGACTATAGATTAACTACTCCCCTTTTTTTGTTAAAAAACTTCTACCTTTGCAATTGTGACAGTGATAATTAGTTCATGATAACAGTTAGTCACTGTTGAATCATGAGAATGTTATCCCCATTTATTTTTACCAGACCCATCTAGACAAGATAAAAACTATTCAGTGTGGACTCTTTCTTCCCCCACACACTCTTAAACTAACCTCCTTCTTAAAATCTTGTAAGCTAGTCCCCATAGGGTTTTATAGAAGCAAACTGCCATGTCTTCTTCCCATAAATCCATTGGTGGGTTTGAACTGCCAATCTTTGGTTAGTATCCAAGCACTTTGACCAGTACTCCACCAGGACTCCTTAATATAGGTTCCAGGATAGACAGCCAACCAATGAAAAAGAATAGAGTCCAAAGCTAAGCTTGCTTGTTTGTCTTTAGTAATACTACCAGTGCAAGGCGTTGGTTAAATATGAACCTTTCAGTCAATGGCTTTTGGTAATTGGTTAATCATACGGAAAATAGCAACTTGTAACCTCTGGCCCATACCTCTTATAAAGTTAATTCAAGATTAATTTTTTAAAAAATCTAAACAAGTAGCAATAAAGTTAGGAGAGGATAGCCTAGTACAATATATGGATAGCACTGGAATATAAAAAGTTATCTTTGTTGTTGTTCTTAAGTGCTGTTGAGTTGGTTCTGACCCACAGTGACCCTGTATATAGTGTCCTAGGAGTAGCTGGTGAGCTTGAACTGCTGACCTTGTGGTTCAAATCACCTTGCAGTCCAGCGCATTAACCTGCAGGGTGACAACACCAGGACTCCAAAGATTTCTTTTAAGAGGATACAAGTCACAATAATCACAGTTTTATATAGTTCAGTTGATTAATTGGATTATGTCACTTTATATGTACTTTTTTTTCAAATTACATTCCCATGTAAATTACATGAACACACATATAATGGGTAGAAATGAAGAAGTCATGTAAAAAATTCTGGCATAGTGTGCCCATGCATATACAATGTATGTCTTGGTGACATTTCCAGAAGTGAATTTCAGTCTCATTCACCCCCATTCAATAATCTGAAAATGTTACTTTTGATCATATTTATATAGCAGAAGCATAAACCATAGTTAATAGGTCATGCATTGAGTTTGATTGTTTTCAAATGCTGTTGAGTCAGCTCTGACTCACAGCAACCCTGTATAGGGTTTCTGAGTAGCAGCTAATGGTCTTAAACCGCTGACCTTGTGGTTAGCAGTCCAGTGCTTATCCTACAGTGCCATACCAAGACTAACCCAGATAATCAGAAAATAAACAATTAACGCTGTGAGTTTGCTCTGGGGCAGCTTGTGGCCAAGCCTGAGCATTCCTTGTAGCCAGTCTGCACCCAGATTATTGGTAAGGATGTTGAAAAATCATAACTCTGATAATATGCTAATGGAAGTGAAACTGTTACAGTCCACGTAGAAAAGAAGAAATATTTATGCCTCCCCATCCCCCCAAAAAACACAAATTGTTGTCAAGTGGATTCTGACTCTTAGTGCCCCTAAAGGACAGGGGAAAACTGCCCAATAGGGTTCCAAGGTTGTAAATCTTTACAAAAGCAGGTGGCTGGGGAGTGTAATCATTCATCATTGCAATGAAAAGATGAGTATAAAACTAGTGTTCTCACATGTAAACTATTACTCAATGCACAATAAAAATTAAAAAACCAAAGTAGATGGCTACATTCTTCTCCCACGAAGTGACTGGTGGCTTTGAGCTGGGGAATCTCCTGGTAAGTAGCAAAGCATTTTAAGCACTGTGCCTCCAGAGCTCTTTGAAATGTTTGCAAAACATGGTAAAATAATTGGGTTTTTTTTAGTTGGCATATATTTACCTGATAAATAAAAAACTAACACCATATATACTATGGTCATATATTCATTGTATATGCTGGAAAATGCTCACATATGTACACCCAAAAAATGTTGATGGAATTTTTATTAACAATAGTCAGTAACTGAAATAAACTCCAAAGTTCATCAACAATAGAACTGACAAATGAATTATAGCTACTTTAAAGAATGGAATATTACACAATAGTGAAAACAAACTACTTCTACATGTAACAACGGATTAATTTTACAAAGATAGTAAGTCAGACCCATATAACGTATGTACTGTGTATTTCCTTTTGCACACACAAAAAAAGACAAAACTCATCTATTATTTTAAAGCATCAGTTCTCAAAGTATGAATCCCCAGAGTTGCTGGAAATCCATTGTGTTACCACACGAGTTCAGTATTGACTAGATGTCATAAACTCTGTATTTAGCAAGGTAGTATATTGTTTCACATTCTGGAATAATCAGACGGGCATTATTGGGTTTCTTGTTATATCCTATAAAAATCTATTGTATCCTACTGTTTTTCCCTGACAGTATTTTTGTTACCCTGATAGGAAGAATCCTGTCCATTTTCAACACTTCAGCCACCCTGGTGATCGTGATTACGGAGGGGTCCAAGCCATGTGCCAAGATGATGAGGTTGATAACCGGCCTGAGTGTCCCTATGGAGCATCTTGTTATAGGTAGGCAAACGGGAACTGTTTGAGTCTCTGCTCTTTCTGCCTAGTCTCCACAAACTCATTACAAAATAGGAATATAAGGGATCTTATTGAATACCATAGGGAATATTTCTGAAACTTTGTAGCTAATACCCCAGAAGTGAAATATTAAAAATTTCCTTTTTGAAATTAGAAATAAGACAATAACATCTGTTACCACTATTTCTATGTAACATGGTACTATAGATTCAAGGTAGTGTAGTAAAATACGAAGAGAAAAATGGGTAAAACTTGGAAAGGAGCAAATAAAACTTTCATGATTCACCAGTAATATCATGGTATGTATGGTTGGATGATTATGTGCTGTGGGGTCGGTTCCAACTCATAGCCACCCTGTACCTATAAGGTACAGAAATCAATTGTGTTTTTATATTTCAGTACCAAATAGAAAATATAATTTTAAAAAGAAAACATGTATAATAACATCAAAAAATCAAGTTCCTAGGAAAAAAAGTGTTATAAAAGGTGTGCAACTTTATGTGGAGAAATCTATTTATGTGGAAAATATTCATGATTAGAAAATTCTGTATTATTAAAATGTCAATTTTTCCCAATACAATTTGTATGTTGTTGTTGTTAAGTGCTGTCGAGTTGGTTCTGACCCATAGTGACCCTGAACAGGGTTTCCGAGGCTGTAAAGCTTTACAGGAGCAGAAAGCCTCATCTTTCTCCCGCAGACCAAATGGTAGTTTGAAACTGCTGACCTTGCGGTTCGCAGCACAATTCGTAACCACTACCTCTTCAAAATCAGAGTTGCAAAGACATGTGCTATTGCTGATGTTAAGTGCCATCGATCTGTACAGGGTTTCCAAGGTGTGACTGGTGAGTTTGAACCACCAACCTTGTGGATAGCTTTCCAGTGCTGATCCTATAGTACCACAACAGGAAGTATACAATGTGATGTTAAAATTTCTATTTTTAAATATTTATGTCCCACATAGACAAGACAGTCTTAGGGAGTAAGGAACAAATGGCAGACTATTCTGAGACCAGAAGAACTAGATGGTGCCTGACTACCACTGCTGACC